TATTGAGTGAAATTAATAGGATTTGGTAGAATCATAAATATAGTAAAGGTTACTATCTTGATCTTGAAAGATGGAGATTGTATTTTGTAAGAGATTTTTCAAATAGTTGATTAAACTTAGCTAAAATATCTAAGAGATAGGACATAGGTGTCTTAAAGGAAAAATCAAACATTTATAAATTTTTGTATTTGATTTTTTTATCCTTACTATTTTATTTTCATTCTTGTTTATGTGCACTTTAATTTTCTTTATTAATGTTAGGCTCCATTTGTTTCGCAGAAAATAGTTTTCAGAAAATGATTTTTGAAAAATATTTACATTTTCTAAATTGAAAGAAGTTTTCTGTTGTTTGGATGAGTTAATGAAATATATTTTTTGTTGTTTATGTATTTTTTGGAAATTTTTTTAAAAATAATATTAATATAACTATTAAGATATTAAAAATTATTTATTATTAAAATATATTGAAATTATTTATTATTAAAATTATTAATATTAAAAAATAATTATATTTTAATAATAATATTTAATATTAAATATTATGTTAATATAAAAACTTAAAATAAAACTATTTATTATTCTTTATATTATTTATTAATATATTATATTAATAGTATATTATTTATTAATATATTATTTATCCATATATTATTGTAATATTTATTAATAAAATTAATAATATTTATTATAATATTATTTGTTAATATATTATAATATTCTTTCTTAATATTATTTATTAATATATGATTTATTAATATAATATTATTTATTAATTAATAGATTAATATATATTTATTTATAATAATATTTATTAATATTATATGTTTCTTAATATATTATAATGTTATTTATTAATATTTTTATTAATAAATTAGATTAATAGTATATTATTTATTCATATAATATTATTTATTAATAAATTACATTATAATATTTTTTGTTAATATAATATTATTTATAAGTAAAATTATACTCAAAAGTATTAACAAATAGTTATACTCGTAAACAGTTCTTTTTTGAAAAATATATTCTCATTTTTAAATTCGTAAGAAAATTTTCAGAAAAATGATATCATTTTTCATTAATTAGTAAGTCATTTTCTGTTCACCAACTAGTTTTTTGTTAAATAAATACTTGAAAATTCAAAAATCATTTTCTGAAAGTCATTTTTCGTAAAACAAACAGAGTCTTAATCTCATCAAATTTTCACAAAAGATTTTATTGTTTTAAAATTTTAATTCAAATTTATTGAAAGGCTATTTTGGGAAAGAATTTAGAAATAATCCAATTCATTCCTCTTGGATTGTTATCTACACTTTAGCTAATAGTTTGCAAAAAAAAAAAAAAATTGTATTTGAATAGTTTCAGAGATACAATGAAGCTTATGTTTTGTTTATTTTGCAATAGAAACCACTAAACACTTTTTAATGAAAGACGAAAATATCTTATCTTTAACAATGTTTTTTTTTGCAGTAAATAATGCTAAAGAAACAAACCTTTATCTGGAGAGAAATGAGAGAAAAGATAAGAAGAAAAGAACTTCTAAACATATCTCAAATAAACTCACAACAATCTCTATTTATAGAGATTTAATCTTAAAATTGTGATTATTTGATTGTGCTGTTTTATTCAAAGATCACTTTTTTTTTATTGGAAAGATGTCGTTTTAAATAATTAAGGATGGTTAGTTCATTAAATTGGTTAAACTCTTTATTCCAAGAAAAACCATTTTTTTATGTTTCAGGAAATTATAATTTTTTACGTAGAGCAATTGACTTCACCAAAATGGTAATTAATTGTCTTTTTATATTTTTAATTTCCAAAATGCTATCCGAAATAGGATAGTCGACTCTTCCTTATTCAACTTATAAATTGCATTTGACATATGAATATTCTGACTCCTTTTAATTTTCAAAACGGTTCCAACTCTAATCTCCTATGAGGTAATAGACTTTTTTTTTTTTATTTTCGATCGACTTCTATAATCTCATGTCATTTTCTAAAGGGTTATCAATCAATAGCAATTGATTCTATTGAGGTTTGGAATCGATTCCACTCATATGCAGCCATAGCAATCAATTGCTCTAAGTTGGCAATCAATTGCTATTTTATATAAAATTTATATTTAGCTTTTGTTTGTCAAAGCAGTTTATTGTTTTTTTTTTTTGGAAGTTTAAGGCAGTAAATTGCCTAAATGACCGGTCTATTTTATTTGATTCTCTTTAAATCTATAATCATATCTCTGATCTTGAATCATACCTTATGTTATTTCATAACTTAATATAATTTTTCTTTGATTAAACTTAATCAAATTATTTAAAATATTTTTAACACAATCTCTATAATATTTTACTCCTGTCGCTGTTAAAAATTTGCATAATGCAGTTAAATATATAAAAGTGCTCCGAAAAATACAGAAAAAGTGTTGTTAAAATATTTTTAACAGTACATATTAAAGCCCAACTCAAATATTTGTTGTATTGGGGGCATTTTTTTTTACATATCAACCAAACACATAAGTCAACACATATAGCCAACTGACTCCGAATCTCAAACCAAATATAATATTAAAAATGTAATGCAATAAGTTTTCGATTCCCCATTAGAAAAAAGATGCAAACGACACCAAACTAAAATTGAAATAGTTGAAACCAAAGTAACAAGACAAGCAATTGCGACATAAATTGCAGTAAAGGACAGGAAGAGCAGGATGAAATTGATTCCATAGTAAAAAACGAAAGTAACAAGCAAGTGCTACATAAACCAATCAACATTGATGGCCGCAAAAGTTGGTATAGACTATTGTGTAGTTCGCACAATAAAATCAGATAAAAAAACTTTGGATAAATCGACACTTAAATTGACTGAAACCATGAGTACAACAAATTTACCCTTACGAACCTTGGAAGAAGTAGAAGGGACCGAAGAAGTTAAATATGAGTCCCAGGATTTTATCTGACTGAAAGAAAACATTATGCCTTGAACCAGAGTAACCCTTTATCTGCAGGAGAAAGAAAATATTAGGCTTTAAACTCCAGTAAGTGCAACCGACATCATGCCATTCAAGCTAAAGGCTCGTTGGCATTGTGAATTTATAAAGAATATTTTTATACTTTGTAAACTTGCTCTTGTGGATTTACCTAACCTATATTATTAGTTGAAATGGAGAAAATTTTTAAACAAAAATTTTATGGCACTTAAGAACACTTGAATCCATATATACAGCTGTTTGCTTTTATACAAGAATGAATAATCAGATATACTTTTATGGCAGCCTGTCTGGGGACCCAATTTGGCCTCTTTATGCATAAAAAATAAGAGAAAAATTGGGTTCCTTCTTTGTAAAAAAGAAAAATTTTGTTTTTTTTTTTTAAATGATAATTTGAAATAAGAAAAATGATTTCAAAACATAAAATTTAAAATATGTACAGGTTGATGCTAACTATGAATTTGAAACATTGATATTGATATGGACAAACATTGTTGCCATCTCCGCATAGTCTCATGTCTCTTTCTATTAAGTATATTTATGTATAATCTTACTTTACATGTATAAATCAATTATAAATATAAATATGTATCTGTATCGATTGAATATTGTAGTGTTTATTGTTGAACCTCGTTTATTGCATTTGCTCTAAACCCCCCCCCCCATCAGTCCACAAATTTCTTCCTGCAAAATGGGATTGTTCAGTGCTGCTGGCGTTGTTTACAAGCCAGTAGAGCAGATTGATCTTGGTCCTGGCAGCAATGAGTTTTACCTCAAAGCCAATATCAAAGGTTTTAAGTTCACCAAACCATGATCAGCCTGCTCTTACTTTTACTTCCACACCAAACTCATACTTGATTTTTCTGATTTCAATGCCAACTCTTCCTTGAACAAATTCTCAGGCTGATGCTCAAAAATGACTTCCTAAGAACTGTGATGAGAAACTTGTTTCAAACAAGTATAATACGCTGTTAGCTTCTGAAAACCAATAGCTTGGAAGTCTTGTCTGATTACTCATCGAATTGTTTAAGAATTTCTGTTTTTTTTTTGGTACTAACTGAATCAACAATTCCTGACAAATTGCAGATGTTCTGTTTCTAGTTATGTTGGCTTTCTGGTTTAAATGTGTAAATGATATTCGAATTCAGGAGTCAGGAATCAGGACTAGCCTCTCAAACTGTGTTTTACTTGCATAAAATCTTCAAATTTGCTTCTCCTTTCACTAATTCACTCTCTTTCTTGTCTCTCTGCCTGAATTTTACCGTCTTTTCTGTACATAGCTCCTCGCATGGCCGGATTTTTGGTTAAAATCTTTGCCTGGTTCCTGGAGTCAAGGATCTTTGGAATGCCATTGTTGTACATATTGAAGAGGATCAATCAAGTTCACAAGGTACACAGTTATTAGCTTCATTTTCTTTCACTCCCAATAGTCATTTTTATATAATATAATATTAAAGGAAAGCCATCATCACAATGGAACTCACATGAATCATTTCTCATTTATATTTCCCAAACCTTTAATTCACCATTATGTTTGGTTAAAAAGTAAAGCTGCGAAAATTGAAACACAAAAAAAGGATAGAAAAAGGATCCAAAAGCTGTAAAGATTTAGTAAAAAATTTCCTAGTAAGTCTGGCATTGTGTCTGTGGTTCAACAGCTACAAACATGTTTCAGATCTTTTACTAACACCCATGTGATGGCATTTTGGTAAATTTCTCCTATAATTCCATGAGGAAAAATACAAAGAATAATTTGCCAATATTTCACAATGATTCCACAAAAAAGTTAAAATTTGTTTGTTAGCGTTTTACTTTTTTTGTTCTCTCTCTAATTTTCTCAAATTGTCGGTTTGATGAGACACAAATTTGGCAAAGGTTAGGAGTTGCCCACAAATTGTGATGAATTATTTTATTTTTCTGTCCAAACTCCAAGCAGACAACAGGAGCTGATGGATCCATTTGTTATATTATTTACAACTAATTTACCTAGGGTAACCTTCTCAGAAGGCTAATGAATATCTAACTAAAATGGATGTCAACTGCTTCAAACAGCAGGGAATTGTAGAGAAAATTGTTACTTTCACCTGATAGGGTTTAGGGTTTAGTCATGAACTTTTCTTACCTATATGATCAAATTGAAAGCTGTCAACGGTTGTAGTGTAGAGTGCTGAGCTCTTAGTTCCAACAATTATGGTTCACAATCTCAAATTATCTCAAAAATAAGAAGGCAAAGGTAATTAGAACCCCTTGCTTTTTCTTTTATTGGTGCATAGGGAATTCCAATTTGGCTGGACTCTTTTGCTAGCTTTCCCCCATCTTATAACCCACCCTTCCATTTCATTTCAAGATTCAAACCTAACACCTCTACGAAGAAGTCCCAAGTTCTAAATGTGTGCAGCTTTTAGTTTAATGAGACAAGTGATAGTTTCTCCCCTAAGTTCCAGCAAGTAAGAATCTGTTTCGAACTATCATGGAAGTTATGCCGCTTGTGGTCCAAGAATCCTCGTGGTTATCATCTGAATTCCAGCCAGGTAAAGCATTATGCTCTTTCAACTTATTTACAGGCAGAACAACTCCGGTATTCCAAAATTTCTCCAGGGAAAGTTCTTTTCAGCTACTTCTTTAGATATAAGTCCTAGTTTATATAACTTGATCACAGATTTTCAAAATCCATGCAGATTATAACAATATTTACCCTAAAACCATCACTCTTAAATTTGAATGAAACAATTGATTAGAAATCAAACATTGATGTTTAGTTTAATATACTGATTAGGCTCTTATAGAAACAGGACATTCATCAAAAAGGAAAGAAGGGCTGAGTTTTCTGCTCTTTATACACTTGTAAAGCACTGGTACGAAGAGAGTCATTCTACCTTTTGTCAAATGGAAGATTAACCATCCACCCATAAAGATTATGGTGGGAGAATCATTCCTTGTTCATGTCATCTTGGAAACTTACAAGCTTTATCTTTGATCTCCGACAACCAAATCAAGTGTATGATGGATATGGTTGCTTGTTTGCTATTTATTGTTAATTTCTTACTGAGTATGTCTTCCCCTTGAGCAGCTTATTACGAATGCATCACTGGAGGAGCCACCTATGTTTGTTCCATTACATCATTTTGTTGGTATGTATGCCTATGTACTTTTGGCAATTCATATGCTTGAGGCTGCTATATTTTGGATACAGTACATAGTTCATCTTCATCACTTAAAATAAAATCAGACTTTTGTCCATGTCTAGAGTAAAATTTAGTTATGGAAAGCATTTTAAAACTAGTTAAACAGTGCATCATAATATCTTTTGCCATTAAGATATCTGTGAAATTTCTACCACTTACATTTGCAATTACCAAGACTAGAATGCCAGGCTAGAGGCTACTAGTATATCTATTCCTCCATATATGAGAAACAACATGGAAGAAACGTAGAATACTCCTTTTATATTACAACAAATTGGATTCCAGACGGTGGAAATTTCTTATGTTCCAAAGGTGTTTGATGTATTTGTAAAGCTTCATCTAGTGGACTGTAAGAGTCAACTATAAGAATGTTCATAAATGTCAAGTGCTCGGGCTACATAATTTCAGGTAGAGATAGGTCACAATAACTGGGAAATGAAAAATGCATCTAGATATAGGGATGATGTCTTCAGAATGGGATAGGTTATATATATTTTTATATGTATATATTTATGTTGTTTTTTCGCTTTAAGTTTTGTGAGCTTCTGTTTATATCCATTAAACATACCTTAGACCCTTATGTCAAGAAATCAAAGTGCATTCTCCTTTCAAATATGTACTTTTTGTCTTGTGTCTGATTTGATTGCATCAACACAGACCTTAATGAGCAAGAAGTCAAACAAATTGACTCTGATGCATCTCCACCAGAACGAGTTCAAGAGGCAATAAATTGCCTTCCTATAACCTTAGAGAAGTCACTAGATGATTTAAAACCCAGCTACTTCCGACGCTGGACAATAGCAGATTATTCAAGAGCCTACTGTTGTGGAGAAATAACTCCACTAAGGGTATCATTCTTGGCTATTTAGTTTATGGCATATTGTTGATTTCCCATTTATATGTGTGATTATAGTTTCACCTGAAGAATGATTTTTGAGACTTTCTAGCTAGTTTATATTGATAATTTTTAGTCTACCATGGTCATGGAAATCAATTTTCAATTCTACAGGTTGCAGAGCAGTTTATAGATGCCGTGCATGAATCTTCCAGACCTCCTTTGTCAATGTCCTTCTTCATTAACTATGATGCTGAAGACATCCTAAGGCAAGCTACAGAGTCAACTCTTCGGTATGAAAGAGGTAATTTTTTTTACTGTAATTGAATCACTATTTACACTTCCTAAATGTGCTTTGTTATTTAGACATTGTTGTTGTCATTCTCCTGAATCATAACGAAATAAGCATTCTCCAGGATGAAGATCAAACTGAAAAACAAGTTGACAGCTGATTTCCAAACTTAGTAGAAGTGAATTCCATTTTCATGTAGAATCTTTTTGGATTTATATTATCCCTTTGTCTATACTGTCTAGATGTTCATATAGATCTCATTTTTCTCTTCTTCAGGGTATCCTATATCAGCTCTAGATGGAGTTCCAATTGCTGTCAAGGATGAAATAGATTGTTCTCCATATCCAACTACAGGTCTCCTAAGTTCTCCACTTGCCATGTTTTTTATGCGCATCAATTTTGTTTTCTTAATGGTATTTTTGTCCTATCTTACTCCTGATTCTTCTAGGAGGAACAAAGTGGCTGCACAAGGTTAGACCTTGCACAGGTGATGCATGCTGTATTACGCGCCTCAGATCCTGTGGTGCTATAATTGTTGGGAAGACTAATATGCATGAGCTTGGAGTTGGAACAACTGGGATAAATCCCCACTATGGGTGAGAACTTGCAGTTGTCTTTCCCTTCCATAAACCAGAAAAGCCATGTTTAAATGCAATGATATTCTGCTTGAATTTGTTTTCCATTTTATCCACATAAAGTCTTAGTTACAAATTAATTTACAGGAAACCAACTTAACTAAATTTAGCACAAGTTTCCTTTATCTTGTCCAAGTTCTTTCCATTAAAAAACATTAAAGATGCAGTATGTTCGTTTTGTTAATGCTGCAGGACTGCTAGAAATCCCTATGATCCCAACAAAATCACTGGTGGCTCTTCTAGTGGATCTGCTGCAGTAGTATCTGCAGGATTATGCGCTGCTGCCCTTGGTGTGGATGGAGGAGGTAAAATTTGACATCTTTCTCTGTAAAAAACCACCAAACGTTGTTGACAAAGTTAAGCACAATGATTTTGACTAAATCACATTTAGCATTAGGATAACTTCTTAAGAAAGTTAAAATATGTGGTATTATTTTTTTAATTAACTAAAATTTTCATTATAAATTAATGCATGAATAATATTCTTGTATTATACCTAGTTGTTGAGAAATTGTATGGTAGGTTCTTAATGTGCAGATGGTAAATAACTCATTTATTGGATATTCTTGGAAGACTTGCTTATCCATGTTAGAATTTAGATCTGACTGAGATGCCCTCAGCAACTCAACTTCAACAACAACTAGCCTCTTGAGTTAATAGTAAAAGTTAATCTGTCTTCACTACAACTCCTTGAGTTCTCTGTTTCTTTTTGTCTTCGTGATCAAAATTTTTGTTCAGCAGTTAACTCCCATGTTTAATTAATAACATAAATACCAAGTCTACGTTGGTATATATCTGAAAGTATAGACAATAGCAAAAACCCTCCGGTGTCACCCATTCCACCACCTGGCTTCTTCATTGTCCGTGTGCACTTCTGACGCATGCTTCCTGGACTAGGAAGATTGCACTCAGTTTCACAACCACTTTGTATGTGACCAAGTAATATACGGTAGAATCATTGACCTTAACTTCCTACATAGGTGGTATCAAAACAGAAGTTCAACAAAAAGACAGTGTGACTCTTCCACCTTTTAAAGTAGTCCAAGGTACCCAAGGCCCAAGTTAGTTATTTTTGCTCATGAATTTCATCCCTGACTTGTTTCTTTTGATTCTGTTGGATTCAAAATTCAGTGGTAAACATCTAAATTAAACCTTGAAGACCTGAACTACAGTTAACTCCTTTATTGTTACCTCCAACGTGGAAGAAGTAAGTGGAATTGTTATTCCTGTTTTCAAGTGATACTACTGAGCCTGAGAACTGAGTACTTCACCAACATTATGACAGCCTACCGAGAGTAACAATTCTTTCATTCCTATATTGAGAAGATATGCAGAAGTATCATTATTTATCATCCTCTACAGAACTGTCCCTTCATCAACATTTCAAAAGGAGAAAGAAAAATATGCTGGCTTATTCTTTACAACATTATACCATGTGAATAAGTTTAAAGGACCAATGCACTTCTTCTATGGTTTCTGAATAGGATCTGTGAGGATGCCTGCATCTCTTTCTGGTGTTGTCGGGTTCAAACCGACTTTTGGATGCATACCTCATTCAGGGTGAGAACTCATTTAGGTAAAATAATTCTATAACTTTCATTAGGTGTAAAATTTAGACAATATCTGAAAATGCATATGCTGTTTCTAGTGTTCTTCCTCTGAACTGGACAGTGGGGATGGTCGGAGTACTAGCAGGCACCTTAGAGGATGCATTTATTGTGTAAGTATTCTCTCCCTTCTTTTTAACAATGCATTTTCTTGACCTCTGTAGGTTACTTTGTTAGTAGTAGATATGATTCAGATTGGTTTACTGTTTTCAGTTATGCTGCTATTAGTGGCCAACTTCCATCACATGAGCCAACCACTTTACCTGTGAGTACCAGTTCTAGAAGATCACTAAAAATTCTGGGTACTAATTGTTGTTTTCGATGAAGATTATCTCCCCTTTAGGAGAAAACTGATTCTGATATCAATTTCTGTGTCCAATGGGCTTCTCATGCAAGCATATTTTATTTCTAGTTTTGATACTGAGAGAATAAGAATCTGGAAACTAGAAGTTTTAAGTTCTTCAGTGTGAGCTTGCTTTTTTTATTTTATTTTGATTGGTTATTCTTTAAGTTCTAGGAAAGTAGCAATAACCATTGTTGGTTTGGTTCCTAATAATGGCCTTGCCATTCTTTTTCTATTCACTGCTGAACCATATAGTATTTTTACAAGTCAATGTAATTTTTGACGACTTTCACTCTTCTTCTTTTGCACATGGATATCCTACCAGCCCAGAGTATATTTTCCGCTGCTGAACTCAACAAATCCAATATCAAACGTCAAGATTGCAAAATATGGAGAGGTTGGTGATTTAATTATATGATCAATTAATTCAAGTACAGTTTTATCATCAATTATAGCTAAAAAAGATGAGATTTTTAACTCCTGTCATTCTATTTTTTAACCACTAATTGGCTCAATTAGTGGTTCGATGATTGCAGTGAAGAAGTCAGAATATGCTGCTCCAATGCTCTGCACTTGCTTTGTGAGCATTACAAGTGGATGGTATTGGCAATGGATGTCTTCTTTAACTAATAACTACCCATGTTTTGATATTATAATTTGTTGTAGATAGACTACTGTAGCAATCAACTTACCTGTTGTTAGAACCTAATCAGATGATAAACCTTCTTAGAAAAAAAAAAAAACATTGTTATGAAATACAGTTATTTCAATGGTAGATGATTGATACTACTATCGCAAAAGTGATTGCTCACTAATCTGCAAAGGCATATTATTCTCAAGATTGTAGAGGTTACTATACCAGAGATAGAAGTGATGCGCCAGGCACATTACGTGACACTTGCTTCTGAATGCAGCGCTTCACTGAGTCCTCTTCTGGAAAAGCTGTATGTTATCTTCCAGACTTCAAGCACCCCATTATCCTCTTATGTTCATGTTCTCCAGGACTCAAAAGTTCAGATGCTGACGGTATAAAATTGTTGAAATAGGGACTTTGCAGAATTAGGATGGGATGCAAGAGTAGTTCTGAGTATATATGGTTGTTTCAACAGCAAAGAGTACATAAAGGCCCAGAAAATGAGGTATGCTGTCGCCAATTTTTTTTATGAATTAGTTTGCTGTAAGTTGTCACATAAAATAAATGATTGTTAACGATATGATACTGTTGTTTTCAATTCAATCATTTATTTCTATTTTCTCAAGAACTTTATATGAAATAGCTCAAAGTTTATTCATTTGTGAATTACAAACCATTTCAAGAAGTAAAAAGTGAATGGCAACAAAGTATTTTCTAAAGTATACTTAGATTAGTGGTCTATACTCTGTAGGCATGCTTCAAATTAGAAGATGTACTGTAGGCATGCTTCATATTAGAATATGTACAACAGGTTGTTTGTTATGATTTTAGATTCTGCAAACTTGCTATGATAATTTAGCTTGATTATACTTGCAGGAACCGCCATATGCAGTTTCATAACAATATATTTGCCAGGGCAGATGTCATAGTGACTCCAACTACAGGGTAGATTTTTTTTTTTAAAGCAAAAGCTTGCATCTATTTTTTTGGAAAAGGTTACTTTTTTTTCTCAAAGGCTCTAAAAGAAGACTGTCAGTAGCACCTTTAATCTTTGTATTACAATGACAAACAAGTTTTTTTTTTTTTTTTGTTTTTTTTTCAAAAAGTGTGACTGCATGCACGATACTTGATGATGCTCAAAAGACTGGTGAGCTTGACTATATAACTGGAGGTAAGAATTTTGACTGGTTTTCCTGTATGAATTTATGTTTAAATCTTCATGCTCTATCAGTCCAATCAATTAATAAAGAGAAGGTATTGCATAATGGAAGTTAACCTTTTTTTGTTGTTATTTCAGCTTCCATAATTCGATATCAGATAGCAGGAAACTTTTTGGGACTACCTGCTGTGACTGTTCCTGTACAAACTTATTACTACTTCTCAGGATTAAAATTTTATGTTGCTATTTAGTGGCTATTATTTTTATTCAAACAGTACAATTCCACTAATATCCATTCACCATGTCTCCTTGATAGGTTGGTTATGACAAAGCGGGTTTGCCAATTGGCCTTCAATTTATAGGGAAGCCATGGTCAGAACCCACTTTAATGCACATAGCATATGCAATGCAGGTTGGCACTTGTTTCTTTCTGTTTCTTCCTTTAAATCCCCACTCCTCTCTATCTCCCCTTTCTTATTAATATACACATAGCATATTTACTTGTTTTTCTGATTCCTGTGTCAGGTTTTTTTCACTCTTGAGAATGTATCATAAATTGGACTAATTATGTTCAAGGCATTATTGAATTGATAATATTCAACATCACAGAAAATTTTGGTAATACAAATAATTGGAAGATAAAAGGGTCAAAAAAACCCTCAAAACAAAAATTTAATAATCATTTAAGCTCTTGATATTTTATTACAATCAATCGAGTCTTGAATTTTTTTAATTCGGATCAGTTGAGCCCTTAAATATCTATTTTCACCCAATTCAATCCTTAAACATTTATTTTTTCCCCAATTGAGCTCTCGATTAAATGGAAATTGGCGTTGACAGTTAATCAATTTTCGTCTAATAGGAGCTCAGTTGATGAAAATAGATATTTGAGGACTTAATTGATTGTAGTAAAATGATACAAACTTGGACGATTATCGAATTTTTGTTATATGGGTTTATTTTTACCCTTAGCCTAATCGGAAACAACTATTGTTGCTTCCAAATGTGAAAAAAGTTTCAACCATAATCCCTTTCCATGTATAAATAACTTATAAATTACGGCTGATTTGTAAAAAACATTTTTGGTTTCAGGCCTTATGCATCTCAAAGTGTAGAAAACCAAAGGTTTTCTATAATCTAATTGAAAAGAATTGAGCAGAGCAGGCCGGGAGCCACCAGAATTCTTCAGAGGGTAATAAGACACCAAGATTATTGTGTTCAGCATAGCTTATCTTGATGAAATAAGTATTGTTTACTTATTTAGGAGTTGCCATTTTTGAGATGGATAAGTAAAAAATGGTTAGCAGCTGAAAGTGTCTGACAGGTTCATATCAATAAACAGACCCACAGATTCTGCCGCCTCTGTCAAAACTGGTAATTGGTTCAATTAAATTGCTTGTTTTATGCATATAACTGGATCCAATTCTTCTGTTAAAAGTAGGTGATACAGAATAGTGAAGGTGGAATTGGGGTAGCCAGGGTTCATGTCCAATTTGCTCATGCCTCTTGAATTAATAATAATATTATAATAATAAGATGCAATGACGGGAAAGATATCTCATTCAATTGTTGACCAACCAGAAAATATAGTTGTATGCAGCAGTGTTAATGATTTCGAATGTTGAGTCGAGCCTGCTACTATGTAGGATGATCAAAGGTCCTGTCCAGTGTCCAGAAATCTAAAACACAATAAAAAAATGAGCATTTGAAAGACTGAATATAGATTTCATATCAAATAGCATTTGAAATTGTAGAGCAAGTGAAAACATGGAAAAGAATAATGTTTTGGTTTAAGAGGTAATGTTTATCTCACCAACTATTTTAGAAGACTGAGTTCAGAGCCTCTTTTTGAAAAATCCATATCATTCGAAGAACCTAGTTTCAGTTCACGGTATTCCTCCATCCACAAGCTCCAGCGGTTTATAAGAGTGAATCAGGACATCTTCCACTGTAGCAACACACTTCAAGTGCCGCTTGTTTTTTGCCAAGCAATTGCTGCCTTCTTGTCGTGCATATAACCCAATAACATGTTTATAAGATTACAACCAACAAGACAGGCAGTTTATATATACAAGAAAAAAAAATCTAAAATTATTAAAATTATTTAATATCAAATAATATTCTTATTAATAAGTTGAAAATTAGTAAAGCTATTTTTATATCAAATAATACTTTTATTATTAAATATTGAGAATTATTTTTATGTCTATATATTAATGTTATTTAAAATCTAAAAATTTTATTTAATAAATAGTGAAATATTTTTTGACATTAAAATTGTATATTAAGACTAAGAAATATTAAAATTATTATTAAAATTTGCTCTAAGTTGATGTATTTATAATAATTTACTTGCATACATTTTCAACATTATATTTATAATAATTATTTTATTTCTCAAATGCATTGTCACAACTAACAAATTTGATTATATTAACATAATTATTTATTAAAATTTAAAATAAAAAACCAAAATGAGAAAAAAATTTAGACAATCATTATTTAAAAATTCCAATTTATAAAACAATGGACTTACAACATAGTGAAGGCTCATTTTCAATTTATAAAAAACTAAAATATATAAGAAAAAATTAAAAAAAGTTACCAAAAACAACAAAAATGACTACAAAAGTACAATCATTAAAATATTTTTAGGGTTTTATTTGAATAATTTGTCTAATATTATAAAATAAATTAACTTTATAAAAGATACAAAGTTTTGTTAGAATTATGTAATAGACTAGAGTGAATGGGAAGACGAATCCATTAGACTAGTCACTATTATTTCTCTTAACATTGTAATTTCACAATTACTTTCTCTATAATTAACAGAATTTGGTTTACCTTGATCAAAATTGCTTGTTGAAGTTGGTATGGGGCATATTCTTGAATTCTTTAAAATTTTCATCACTTGATCCAGCATGTCTTTGAATGTAATTATGCAAATCCATTGTTGCATTTATGATTAAAACTTGCTTCTTAAATGAATAATTTGGAATATCTCATAAAATTGGCCATGGTATAGTAGCCAACTTGCATGAATGTTTTATCACAATTAGTGATTTATCTTAGATGTATATTTGTTGGAATTGAGAAAATGTTGTAAATATTATTGAATTGATAGTACGGTGGAAAGATTAAAGATTTTTACTATTGGATTTAAACAGCTCATACCTCAAAGAAATCATTAGAAACCCATTTGAAAATTGCAATGAAGGACATCCAATATTTTTATGCCAGAACTAATTAAAAAATTAAAATATATTTTCTCATGCCTAATACAACAAAGAAACTAGAGTAAAAATTACTTCTAGAAATGTATTTTTGAATAATTATAATATTTTTTGGAAATACATTTTTAGTATAGTGAAGAAGTTTCTAGCAAAGAATTTTCAGTATATTAAAAAAGTTTTCGAAAATAATTTTTGGTGTATTAAAAAAGTTTATGAAAATAAATTTTCAATACATTAAAGAAATTTCCAAAAAATGAGATTTTGGTAACTTATTGAGAAAAAAAGAATATGAAATACAAAAAAAAAATATTTAAATAATTTTATTAAAAATTAATTTTATGAATATATTAAAAATTTTTTAAGGATGTAAATAGCATCACTAAAAAAAATCTCATTCATGGAAAAAAGTACTCGTAGAACAATTTTTGTATTAATAAAATGCTATTCTCATGAACCTTCTTATGGTCCACGATCATAGGCCACATATCTTAGTCTATGTCACATCCCATGTTAATTTATTTTGCATGCATACTAGAATCGTCACTTTTAGAAGTGGTAACATTCAATTTTTTAAAATATTATATAATATTATAAAAATTTAAAATTTAATTTGAATTCGAATCTTCATTCGATTCAAACCAAATCAAATCAAATTTTATCAATTTGTTGCAGTTCGGTTTATCGATTTTTAATTTTTATATATTATTTTAATATAAAATTTTAATATATTTAAATAAATTTTGATATAAATTTATTATTTTTATTTTATAAAAATTTTAAAAAATATTAAAACTAAAAAAAATATATTTGGTTCGGTTCGGTTCGATTTTTTTTTTTTTATCTCTCAATCCGAAATTCGATCCAAACCTCATATATATATTTAATATCTAAATTTGATTCAAATTAAATAAAAAAAATTGATTCGAACTGAACTAAATATTGTAACTTTGAATCGATTTTTAAATTTTTAAATTTTTAAATTTTTTTCTCACTTTAACCACTTTGACGAATAATATATATAAATATTAGGTAAATATTATAACATATGAAATAGATTATTAATATTAAAATTTTAATTAAAATAATATATTATTTAAAAATTAATTTAAAATTTAAATATAATTATTTATTTATTTTTTTAAAAAATCCAACATCAATAGTATAATCAACTTTTCTTAATGATAACGACAGAAAATAAAGGAGCACGTGGACGAGTAATGAGTATTTGTATTTTAGATTAGTTTAGTTGTATTTTGTATTCATTATCCTTTTTCCAGACTTTGGCCTTTCTTTATTAGCCTTTGCATGGCGTTATTTCCTCCCATTATTAGAGGATCAATTAACCGTACCACTATGTTAAAGTAGTATTTGATATGAGATAATTGTTTTAAAAATTATAATAATTTATATATGATAATTAGATTATTATATTTAGTAAATATTTGATGATTTTATTTAATGGTAATTTTAGATCATCGATAATGATCAAATTATTGTATTAGAAGATGATCTAATTATCATAAAAAAAATATGAGAATTTTTTATCACTGAAGTAAAGTAATATATAAAATTAATAATAGTTAATTTTACTTATTTAATATGTAAATTAAAATCTTATTGTATTTTAAAATTATAATTATTTTATATTATAAATTTTTATATTTTAAAACTAATATTCATTATAACAAATTCAAAATAATTTATATATATATTTTTAATAATTTATATATATAATAATTTTTTATTTTTCTTTTATTATGAATTTAATAGATTGGTTTTATTTTCTAATTAAATTTTTTTTATAATTTATATTAAAAATAAATTTACCTATCAATAAATATATTTATTAATTTAATAATATAATTATATTTTATTATAAAATACATAAATATTAGTAATATTTTACAAATTATTATCTTTAAACAATTATAAAATTATTAATTTATGTAATTATTGCAATATGCATGGTTATTTTTGTATTTTTAAATAAATAATATTTAATTTTTAGTAATACCAAATATAATGATATTTGATATATAAGAATTTATCATTGTTATCTAAATAAAGTGATTTCAAATCATGAGTATTGAAATCACTTTGGTAAAAAAATTACCTCAATAATTACATTATCATAATGATTTTACAAAATATATCAAATACTACCTAATACTAATAAAAAGAGAGAACAGTTGAAACTTGAAGTTTAATTAATAATCACATCCCCAATTTAGGAGCATTCCCTATTTTTTTTATTATAATTTTATAATTATTTAATAATATTAAAAAATTATGTAAGAATCCACCATTATAAATGAGTTTCATATAAGATTTTAATAAATCTCGTACAATTCTTAATTATAATTTATTACGATTATAAATAACATGCTACCCAATTTAGATAAACATCTCTATCTACCAAATGTGTTACGTCTCGAGTTTGAGTTTTGTCATTTCGTGTCTAAATTATTTTAATTTGCTATGGATAAAGATATATTCAAATTTGGATAATTTCTATTCAAAGTTTTTAATTGAAGTTATTTCAAATTCTACAAATTTCAAATCATTTTAGATTTTATATAAGATTTATATAAGATATAATCATTTCAAAGTGAATTTTAAATTCAAATCGTTTTGAGTTCATACTTTTGAAATCAAGTAATTTCATATTGTGTGATATAAGGTTTGCGCCATTTCAGGTTTCATGTTTGTGTTAGATAAGATTCAGATTGTTTCAAATTTTAGTCTATTTACGTTCAAATCTTTAACTTTTTTATCAATTCAAGTTTGAACTGATTCAAGTGCCAAGCTTATTCGAGCAGAATTTCTAATTAGGTTGATTTGCCACCTTTATATTTTTCTAAAAAGTAGCGTAGATGTCTTCTTAAAAGAAAGTAATGTAAAAGTATATTACTTCTATAGAAAGAAAAATTTTATGTCACATATTTAGTGAATTTTTTTAATTAATTGTTTGAAGAATTTTCAAATAATGAATCATTTATTGCCATGTGGGGTTAATAACATTATTTTAAGTCAATCATAAAATCTATTATTAAATAATTAATTTTATGATTAATTAAATATATCATTTGACAATATAAGATAAATACATTTGGCTTGATCTATCAAAATTCTAAGATTTATACTATGATTGTAGACACCCATTTTATCTAAGATAACTCGATCACGATCAATTTTGTAATCGATTTGGGTATGAATTAGTTCAATTCAAATATTTATTCATTTATAGTCCTAGAATATTTTGTGTGGGTTCGAGCTTGGTCCAATTTCATTATTAGGTTAATTGTTAAAGCCCAAGTTTCGTATTAAAGCCCGAATTTTATGTTAAAGACTAGGTTTCGTATTAAAGCCCAAATTTTG